GCCTGGAGTGAAATTCACACTGGGACTCAAACCGAGTGAAATCGGTCAACCAGAAAGATAAGGAACGGATCTACGAGACAATTAAATGATCCGGATTGGAGTATCGAGTCGGATAAGCCCATTGAAAGAGAGAGGTCGGGGTAAATAGCAAGTGTGATAAGGCCACACTAGATTTGCCATAAAAGGGCACACATTTTGACGATTGGAATGTAAACAAATGAGAAATTGTGATAGGGCGGCAGTGGGATAAGAGGGTAAAGAGTAGATAGATAGGCCAGGGAAGAAAGAGGAGTGATAGTGTAATCGTTTTCGGCAGAACGCTTGTCGAGGGATTGACTTCAGTTGTCGCTTTGACGACTATGATCCCGGCGAAACGTTTGAGAATGTACCAAGTCCACTGTATGATGCTTGGAATTATGACAACTACTATGGCAGACGACTTTGGAATAGGTTCGTTCTATAAGCCGCCCGGAGAACAAGACTAAGTTGCGACGAGGTCAACCCACTTCTATGAATCGAAAGGAGACTGCGACCATACCGGAGGCCACACCATCTTGTTCCTCATATCTAAGTCTCGAATAACTGCGTTCCATACCAGATATAGCCTTTTCTGTTTTTCACAACTCGGTTATATTAGCAGAGCGAGCATAAGAAATATACTATATAAGGCCTATTCTGCTATAGCTATAATATTTCACATTTTCTGACCCTCGAAAGATAATCTTTGGCGACCCAAGTGGAATATCAGAAAGCACCTACAAGAGCTGTAACCACTGTGTTATGCAGAACCTGAAGATGATTGACAGAAAAATGATTATCAAAATAAAAAGCAATATTGTATTAAAACCAATCTAATTTATAAAGGAATATAGTTTGTACCTAATTCAGAACTTAAAAACATTTGAAATGGAAATGCGGGCTGCAAAAGAAGATTTTTTGTAATTAACCCTAAGAGAAATTCAATGATATGAAGGAACCTCTTAACCATCACTAAGAGTCACCAAAATGGCCCAGGGTAGACATATATTTGATAAAATATTCTATTCTCCTTGTTCCGTTTCTAGGCAACTTAAACCCTATTTATGATTGGTTGGACCTCGTTCTCGCAACTTGTTCAAAGCATCAGATACCTATTGTAACATACCTAGTGATGCGTCTTCTGCCATAATATTTATGAAATCCAGCATTAGATCATTTATTTTGTAGATTCCCATAACTTGATATTATATTACTTTGGCAAAAGAGTTGAATAACAAGTGTGTGAATAGAAAGGTGTACTAAAGAGAGGGAGTGCCGAAGTTCTGTTGTTGAACTGTACAAATTTCACATCTTAATTCTGAGTCTTCTATATACATAAATGATGGAGCCTTGTAAATCATAAAGAAACAGAGATACAATGATATAAACTCACTAAAGCAAAATAATTATAACTTTCATGGTGTTTTTATATGAATGAGTTATAGAAACGCTAAATTACATGAGACTTCATATCAGATATGTAACAGGATCTCCAAAACATAAAATGGCTTGAGCTAAATTTAGTATAATGGAATATACAAGGAGAGGTACCGGTTAACTAATCAAACTCACCTAGTGGGATGTTTAGAAATCGGATTTAGGCTAGGTAAATCACAAAAAATACAAAATAGCGGTGATAGATCGTAATGCCAAACGACAGTATATAAATGATAAATGTAATAATTTAATAAAATAAAATCAACAGAAAGTATGAGGACCAAGATGGTGTGGTCTTTTGTGTGGTCTTTTGTGTGGTCGCAGTCTCCTTTCGTTTTATAGACGTTGTTTAACCTTGTTTTCGCAACTTGGTCATATTGGTCGGAAGACTTAGAGAAACGCACCTAGTCCGGAGTCCATTCTATGCATGATAATTTTCAGAGTCGACTTGGTACCAAGCCCACGGTCCGAATCTTGAAATGATGATGCATTCAATGGAGTCCGGACGAGATGCGTTCCTCTAAGTCTTCCTACCAATATGACCAAGTTGCGAAAACAAATTCAATCAAATTTTATAAAGCAAGAGTGTGCGACCACACAATAGGCTACACCATCTTGGTTTTTATATCTTCAATAAAAAATTAATTATTATTAAATTTTAAGACCTTAGGCAAATCCACGACATTGCAAATAATTATTAAATTATGGAACAGCTGTGCAGATGATAGCTATTTTAGTTCATTCCTCTGACAGCTTGTGGATAATTCACACAGATAGACTGGAAATTATATTTGGATTTTGTAATAATTCAGGTAATTTTGCTAAATCTAATGGATATTGACGATTAAGTCACCGTTAGGATAAAATTATCGGCTTCCGTTTATTATGAATTATACCCGAGATTATATCAGATTATCATAAAATAAGCTTAAATCTGTGGATTATAGAGGTCGTTTGACCTTGTTTTGTCAAGTTGGCCATATTGGTAGGATGACATAGAGGAACGCACCTATTCCGGAGTCCATTGTATGCATGATCATTTCCTAAGTTGAACCATGGACGTGGTAAATTCCCAAACGTTTCGCCGGCTGGTGAAGTGAAGCCGAGCCATTGACCAAACGTGTGCAAAACAGTTGTGGTATCTCCCCTTCTGCTCTGGCCGATTCACATTTCCTATATCCTGCTATCACACCTTCACTGTTACAATTTTATCGTTCTTATTTCGATGTAGTGTGGTGTGCTCTTTTGAGCGGCATTCATGAAAACCCTTGATACTCCACGCTGGACAGTTTTCAACCCTGCCCTCTTGTGCTGGGAATGTTGATCAGAGTCTGCCATATTGTTACGCAGTCCTCCTTCCCTAGATCTTACCACAGTCGCTCTCTTTCCCCGTAAGATCCGTCTGCTCTCTCCCTGGTTCACATATTTTACTCGACCCCTGCTACCCCATCTGTGCTGCTCGAGGTGCTATTCGCCTTCCCCTACGTCTGGGTGACTAAATCGAGGCTAAAGCCTCTGAGAAAGGCTCATGGTCACGCCTTTGCCACATGGACCACGTCTATTATAAAACCTACTGTCAGCCAACTCTCTCTTACGGGGCAAGAGAGAGACTGTGATAAGATCTATGGAAGGAGGACTGCATAACAATATGGCAGACTCTGATCAACATTCCCAGCACAAGGATGAAGGGCGATGAGAAGGCCAGCGTATAGTGTTAAGGCTTTTCATGAATGCCGCTCAAACGAGCACACCACATTACATCGAAATAAAAACGGTAAAAATTGTAACAGTGAAGGCGTGATAGGAGAATATAGGAGATGTGAATAGGCCAGGGCAGAAGGGGAGATACCACAACTGTTTAGCACACGTTTTGTCAAAGGATCGGCTTCACTTGTCTCTTTGACGAGTTGTAGTGTGGTGCTAATAATGGTGAGACTCACTGACAATGCCGACTACCACGTTCACGATCCGACTTTGGAAATGATTATGCATACAATGGACTCCGGACTATGTGTGTTCCTCTAAGTTTTCCTACCAATATGGCTAAGTTCCGAAAACAAGGTCAAACAAACTCTATAATTCACAGAGTTAAGCTTATCTGATGGTAATCGGATGTAATCTAGGGTATAAATCATAACTCCAAATATTGGACAACTAAAGAATTGAAACGAAAGTGATATCTTCGAGAGCTGCGTCAACATGAACATCACAGTAAAATCAAACATCAGACCAGGAGAAATTCGCCATTGTTTTCTAATAAGATCGGGCAATAAATTTATGTATCGCTTTTACATGAAATGGAAGTTATGCCAATAGAACTATCATAGAGGTTACTAATCAACAAATAGATGTGACCGGCTAAACTAAATTTCGCTAACGCAGTCCGAGTTTTATTATGAGCCATTTAAAATGAATTCACTTCGGACAAACTATCTTATGTGACGATTTCACTGACGCTAATATGCTTCATCTCTGATATAATTTGATGATTATATTATGCCTTTTCAAACAATGATGCACATCATAGTAGAAAAAGGCTCTTTTGATGCG